TGCACTACCTGGGCTTCAACATGATGGGCGTATTCTTCCGCCTCATGAACGACACCATGGTGCGCGCCTCTTTCCTGGACCGCCACCAGTTCATCATGGAGGAGACGTGGTTGCGCAACGCCCTGCTCCAGGAGTCGATGCTGCTGGACAGTATCCTGCCGCCCCAGATTGCCAAGCCCATCCAGGACAGCATCAAGAACAAGATCACCCAGTCGGAGTCGGGCCCCGATAGGTTTCACCCGTTCGGTTCCCGCCGGCGGGAGAACTTCATGGCCATCCAGATCCATCCCGACGTCACAATCCTCTACGCCGACGTTGTCAACTACACCCACCTGACCACAACGCTGACGGTGGAGAGCCTGGTGAAGGTGTTGCACGACCTCTACGGCCGCTTCGATATGGCAGCCTCGCACTTCCGGGTGCAGCGCATCAAGTTCCTGGGCGACTGCTACTACTGTGTGGCGGGCTTGTCGCATCCCGACCCCGATCACGCCAAGATGGCGGTGTCCCTAGGCATTTCCATGATTGCCAACATCCAGGAAGTGCGGTATGATGGTAATTTTCAATTGCTTCTAGTCCTCAGCTCATCCTTCCAATCACAGAGTGGATCGAGCCTTGGATATCGATATGCGCATAGGGGTCCATTCGGGATCTCTGCTGGCAGGCGTCATCGGCGAGGCCAAGTTGCAGTACGACATTTGGGGTAGGCGTAGACCATTATATCAAGACATTACTCCCACTACCTTTTTAGGTCCTGACGTGGAGATCGCCAATCGTCTGGAGGCCACCGGAAAACCGGGTTTTGTTCACGTCAGTGGACGGACTCTAAGTAACCTCAACGCAACCGATTATGTAATAATGCAGAGCACAGAAAAGGCCAAAACAGATCCACTTCTGAAGTCGATGAGTACCTATCTGATAACGGGCGTAGCAGCTCGCGATTCAGTCCGCAGCACCATGGATCCAATCCTATCCGGCTCCAGTCTGGAAATTAAAGTGATTGATAAAGAGCGGCCATCCATGGCCAGTCGCCGCTCAATGTCCGATGAGTTGCGTGAGGAGTTTCGCAAAATGCCAGTTGAAAGCTTAGAGTAAGTTAGCTTTTAGGCCTCACTCGGATCGGTCCTTCAACATACCAAATTTCTGATATCAAAATGGCGACGAAAAATGATAAAACACTGGACTAAAGTCGACAGTTAAACTACAGCTACAATATTCAAAATTTTCTCTTTTTCACTTTCACCGCCATTCATGATGTCCTAGGCGCTTATATATATATATTCTGCCGTTCCGAATTTCAAGTTGGCCGAGTTCATGATATTGACATGACAATGTTAAGAATCTTTTATGCATTCTAATTTTTCAGGCATATAAGTGATTGGTCCCACTTTCCAGTGCTTAATACCTAGTGTTACAAATGTTGTGTTTAATTTTAGCTTCCGATTGCTCTGCTGCCGTCGACCTAGTAACGAGAAGGATCAGAAAGCCGAACTCGGCATGTTTTGTGCAGCGTTTAGGGACTCGACCCTGGAATGGAGTTACATTAACCAGCCGGACTTTATTTTCAAGTCCTCAATGCTGCTGGCTTGGGGAATCGGGTGCTGCCTGATCTACATCCAAATGGTGACGAACAACTTTGTTTGCCGGTCATGCATTGTGGTCGACCTTGCTGTGTTTTTCCTGCTGACCTTCATGCTGTGCATCTCGTGGTACAAAACAGTGTGCTGGTGGAAGGACAGACGCAAAGGACAAATCACTTACGGCAAATACAGCTGCATGGTATTTCACCTCTTTGAGAAGATCCAGCACAGTGTGACTCTGCGCATTACCACCTATTTGCTGATCATTGTGTGCTACTGCGCGGTAATCTCCCTGATAATCGTGAGTCCTGAAAGATTCATTCAAATTTCTTCCTTTAAATATGTTTCTTTTTGACGGAACTCCCTTTATTTCTTATTCCTAACCCCTCAGATTAACTGTGACCGGGATCAATATCAGCTGAGTTACATTGAGAGCTTGCTCTTTCACTACGAAATGGATCGCAATATCTGCTTCCATCCGTGGGCCTTCACGAACATGATTTGCCTGATCTTGGGCATGAGTTTCACCTTCGCCCGCATCCCATTCGCCCTCAAAATTGTCGTCAGTTGCTGCGAGGCCGTGGCCTATATGTTGCTCGTGTTTTTCCAGTACGCGTTCATTTTCCAGCACAGCGCCACTACAGCACCGTATTTAAAAGCGGAATTAGCGCACTGCGGCCGGGTGTGGATGATGCTGCTCACCATGTACGCGAAGGAGCGTCAGACGGAGTTCAACACGAAAATTAACTACAAGTAAGTGACATGAGTATAAAGCAAACAAAAACCTTTTGGGCAACGACTCTCCTTTAGGCTCAACGTAGACTTGCATAAAAAGCAAAAGGCGGCCGATGTAACAAACCAATCAATCATTATTTTGCTGAATAACATTCTTCCATCACATGTTGGTGAGTTTTTTTTTTTAGTTATTAATATACCAAATAATGCGAGATTATCCACTCTTCCGCAGTCGACCTCTATCTCAATTCATTGGCCAAACACGAACTGTACTATGAAAATTATCAAATGGTTTCAGTCATGTTCGCCATGTTAATCAATTTTAAAATGGATTTACCCAGCTTACGAGTGCTAAACGATATTATAACAGAGTTCGATAGATTGGTAGGCTGATTCTGATTTCTGAAATCCTTTCTAACGTTCTTAAATCACATTTCTCGCATCGCAGTTGAGTACCTACAAGGAATATTACGTAGTTGAGAAGATCAAAGTCGTTGGTTGCACATATATGGCAGCTTGTGGATTGGATTTTAACTTGGCCTCACAAATCCGGCACACCAGTGACTTTCGAAATAGTGCACTTCAATTCGAAAGTGAGTACTTGTCGCCGCTTAAAAAATTTCGTTCATTAAATTTCATTGATTTTCTGTTTCACTTGTATTTTGTTCCAAAAACAAGCAACTTTCTTAACCAGCATAAAAATAATATTTAATTTTTACAATAGCTTCAAGGGTATACAAACATCGGCTTACCGAAGCTAGCTTCTTTTCTTGTTTAGTTTGATTAGATTTTGTGTGATTTTTGTGAATATGAGTACAGAGTTTTAACGGTATAAATTCAAGTCCTTAAAAAACAAAATCACAAAAAAAAAAAAAAAAAAAAAAATAAAGACTTGGTTGGTCCTTCCCCTTTTATTTATTGGCCTTGTATTAGTAATCCAATTTTTATTATAGTGGAACGGGTGCTCAGTCACAGAACGTCCGACGAAGATAATAACAACGATGAGGTAATATTCATGATGACCACCTTCGCCCTGGACCTGATGCGAACGCTGTCGGCGTGCAACAAGGCCTACTCGTACACCCACTTCGATCGGACCCTGTCCAGCGGAGAGATCTGCATCGGCATCTCCAGTGGCGAGATAATGGCCGGCGTGGTGGGTGCCTCGCAGCCGCACTACGACATCTGGGGCAATCCGGTCAACATGGCTTCGCGGATGGAGTCGACGGGATTGCCAGGACACATCCAGGTGACGGAGGAGTCCGCCAAGGTTCTCGAGGAGTTCGACATTCAGTGCATTTACCGCGGCTTGACCTTTGTGAAGGGCCGTGGGGAAATACCAACCTACTTTGTGGGAATCGATGAAAACTTAAAATTCATTTCCTCAAAATTTGCCAATCGGACTTCATCAAGACGATATTCGGTTATGTCTTCACTAGATCCAGATCTAAGCATTAATGAGACCAGTGAAGACAACAAAGATGAAGATTGAGAAATTTGTACCATTGCCTAAAAAATATATATATTTCATACATGTCGATGGCAATATCAGCCCGCACTCGTTAACTAGATAACAAGCTTGAATTTGTCTTTGTCTTTGTTCTTGTTTCTAACTGAATTTATGATGTTCATAATAAATCTAATTTGATTTTGTAATGCATTGAAATTTTATGAATATAAACTGGATATAAAACAAGAAAGAAAGCAAATTTCGGAAAGCCGAAGTTCATATACCCTTGCAGCTATTGCAAGAATTTAACATTTTTGAAAACATTAAAATTATGATTTACTGCGTATATGTTTAAAAACATTGAAGCTATGATGATTAGCAGCTCAATTATTTGATAGTTATTTTATATATTTTTATTATTTCTATGGGAGCTATTGATATAGACGTCCGATTTTGATAAAATCTAAACCATAATTCTGAAATATTTAACCATTGCTATATGTCGAAGAACTGAACAAAAAATTAAAAAACAGAAAAGTTATAATTTTTTTCATTTATTTTTCCGATTGTTCCTATGGGAGGTATATGCTATAGTCGTCCGATTTTGATATAATTTAAACCGTAAATCGGAAATATTTAACCATTACTAAATGTCGAAGGACTAAACAAAAAATTAAAAAACAGAAAAGTTATAATTGTTTTCATTTATTTTTCCGATTGTTCCTATGGGAGCTATATGCTATAGTCGTCCGATCCGGCTCGTTCCGACTTATATACTACCTGCAATAGAAAGACCACTTTTGGGAAGGTTTCATGCAGATAGCTTTAAAACTGAGAGACTTGTTTGCATATAAACGGACGGACAGACGGAAAGACGGTCAGACTGGCAGACGGACGGACAGACGGACATGGCTAGATCGACTCTACTAGTGATGCTGATCAAGAATATATACACTTTATAGGGTCGGAGATGTCTCCTTCACTGCGTTGCAAACTTCTGACTGAAATTATAATACCCTCTGCAAGGGTATAAAAATTATCACAATTAAATTAAAAGAATTACAAACTTTTACATATATGAAAATATATCATACCACTATTTTTTTAATCGAAAAAACCCAATGGTATGTCTCATGTCGGATACTTTTGTCATCAAAAAAAAAAAACACTCGACTAAGAATAAGAATAAGAATTGTAAACCACTGAAGTAGGCATTGTGATCAACGTAAACTAATATTTAGTTGAGTTGCGACGTCTTGACATTCGAAACTATAAATCGACTTGCGAAAATTAATTCAAAATGCCACCTATTGGAGCAAAGTGTCAGCTGAACTACACGCGAGAGCGAATGTGGGAACCCGGATATCTCAAGGTAAACTATATTATGACTGTGCAACAAAAAATCATAAAAGCAATTTTCAGGCCAAGTGTGCAGAGTTGCGCTTGGAGAACGAGTTCCGATTGTATCGAATACGCCTTTGGAAAAGCTATTTATGCGTTTTCTTCATGCTGCATATTTTTGTCACTTTTTTGTACTGTGTCCTGCTATTAACTACCGTTGATGTAAGTTTGCATGTTGTTGAAAACTATTTATAAACATTTTGAATAATACTTATTTAAAAAAAAACATCTGATAATATCTACAAAATCATTTTTTTCTTAAGCGCCGACATAAAATATATTTCGATGTGTCCCTTTCTGTGGGGTGTTGCGTGGTCCTTTTGATAGCATTGAGCATTAACTTCTGTGACGGGTTTATAGCGAAACATACGTGGTATATGTATGCCAGTTCAATATTTGCATCTATGACTTTGGTGTTTGCCGGTAAGCCAGTTATACCTATATTTTTGTGGTAATTGCATTTCGTAATAAGAGCGCTTTAACGCCTATTTCAGACCTTACTGAATCAATCTACCACAATTACACACACAATTGGCAGCTGGGCAGCTTTTACGACACCTACATATTGTACATGGTCTACATGTTCCTCCCGATCCACTTCATAAGTGGTGCAGTCCTGCTGGCTCTCCTAGTATCCGCGCTGTACATAATATACTACATTCAATTTCTCGCCGATGGCTTCTCCCAATTCGTGTCCGAACTGTTCTCCGTCGGCGGAATGTCCATGGACATCCTGCACTATCTGTGCATCAACCTGGTGGGCATATTCTACCGCGTCATCAGCGACACGGTGGTGCGCTCCTCGTTCCTGGACCGCCACCAGTTCATCAAGGAGGAGATCTGGCTGCGCAACGCCCGGCTGCAGGAGAAGCAGTTGCTGGACAGCATCCTGCCGCCGCAGATCTCGCAGCCCTTGCAGAAGGACATCCAGAACAGGATTAAGATGGCGAAACAGGGCGCCGGCATGCGCTTCATCAGCGTCCTCGAACGCACCATGGCCATCCAGATACATCCGGACGTCAGCATCCTCTACGCCGACGTGGTCAACTACACCCACCTGACCACCACACTCACGGTGGAGAAGTTGGTGAAGGTGCTGCACGACCTCTACGGCAGATTCGATAGAGCCGCCTTTCGCTTCAAGGTGCAGCGCATCAAGTTCCTGGGCGACTGTTACTACTGTGTGGCCGGTTTGGCGGACCCCGATCCCGACCACGCGAACAACTGTGTGGCCCTGGGCCTCTCCATGATCTCCGACATCCAGGAAGTGCGGTGAGTCGCTATCTAAACTCTTTCCAAATCCTATTTTGTTATGTCTACACTCTATTGATTCCTGATATATGTTTATTCACCCGAAATCCCCAGCGACGTTCAAGGTCTGGACATAAATATGCGCATTGGAGTTCATTCGGGTACGCTGTTTGCAGGGGTCATTGGTGAGGCCAAGCTGCAGTTCGATATATGGGGTGAGCTGGTCAATCTGCAGCACGACTTTCCGCTGGTAATCACTGTCTTTTTTTTTTGGAAACTTGTAGGACTGGACGTCACCATTGCTAATGTCTTGGAGTCCACTGGAGTGGCGGGCTTTGTGCACATCAGTGGTGCCACACTGAACAATCTTAGCGAGCAACGCTATCTTATTGGCGAAGGACCTGAAACTGCAAGGAAACATCCACTTTTGATCAATCACCGTATAATCACATACATAGTGCAGGATGTTTTGCAAGCGGAGGAAAGTGAAGAGTTCTTTGGTGAACTGCACGCATTGTCGTTAATAAACTTCGGCTCAAGACAAAGACTAAGCGATAATACTAATGAAAGCTTAAAAGCGATGTTCAATGCCGAGTTGCACGAAGAATTCCGCAAAATGCCGGTCAGTGCATTTAAGTGAGTATATTTTTGGAAGCATATTATCTATATTTATTCATATTTATTTAATTTCACATCCCTCGATGCAGTCAGAAAACATTTTACGGCATGTATCGAAATACAGACAGAGCGACGACCCCTTTGTATCACCAGCTAAACATTTGTCTGACCTTCTACGACAGCGCCATGGAGAGGGCCTACTTGAAGCAAACCGACTATATGTTCAAGTACAGCATGCTGCTCGGCTGGTGCGTCGGATGCTGCCTGGTGTATATCCAACTGATGGACACCAAAATGATATGCCCCTCGTGCATTATTCTGCCCGCCTGTGTGTTTCTGGTGCAGACCATTCTGACCTTCGTCGCTTGGTACAAGAAGATTTGCTGGGCAAGGTATGGAAAATATGACCAGCCGCATAAGTATAGTCGGTTGAGCTGCATTATATTTCGCATCCACGAGAAAATCATTGGCAGTCTGGGCATCCGCATCGTCATATACCTCTTCCTAGTGATATCCAATTTCTCTGTGATGGTGATTATCGTGGTGAGTTCTTAACATGATAGAAAATCTCTTTGTATATATTACTTGAGTGGTAAATCCTTCAATCAGATGACTTGCCAGCGCGAAGAGTTTGAGCTAATGTTTATCGAGGAGAAACTCTTTCACTACGAACAGGATACTAAGATATGCTTTCATCCGTGGGTGGCGACCAACATGGTCTCGCTAATGATTTGCCTGACCTTCACCTTCTTGCACATTCCGTTCCTGGTGAAGACCACAATGGCCCTTTTGGTGACGATTGCCTACTTGGTGATCGTTTTCTTCCAATTTGAGTTTGTCTTCCACCACAGTGTGACCACGAACCCCTTTTTTCCCGCCGAGTACGCACACGGCTTGCTAATTTGCATCAGCCTGCTAACTATGTATGTGAAGGAGCGCCAAATCGAGTTCACCAACAAAGTGAACTTCAAGTAAGTTCGACTGACTCCAAGCGATTGTTTTTTGTGCATTTAATTGGACATTTTTTTTTAGCTGGCGCGTCGAGTTGAGAAAGAAGGAGAGTGACGCCAATATAACCAATCATTCGATCATTATTATACTCAATAACATTCTTCCTAGTCATATAGGTGAGTCTTGGTCTGCTGTCGGTATACCATTACTACAGGAAATGTTTTGCTCTTTTCATAGTGGACGTCTACCTCAGTTCATTATCCAAACACGAACTATACTACGAAAATTACCAAATGGTTTCCGTCATGTTTGCCATGCTATTGAATTTCGAAGTGGATTTAAGAAGCTTGCGAGTTTTAAATGAGATTATTGGCGAATTTGATGTTCTGGTAAGGTTAAAGATCTGCGGTATAAGATAAGGTTCAAGCAAAAGTTTTTTAAAAAATTATATTACAATGCACTTTAGTTTACACAGAAGCTCTCATAATCAAAATGTGGCCTTTAAAAAAAAAGTGAAAGTTTCTGGTAAATCCTAAAAAAAAATACTGATTCTTTATTTCTTAAGATTTAGAAACACCATCTTTTGGGTCTTTGCCCATTTTTTAAACTTTTATTAAAATTTAATTCAAAGCAAGCCGACCTATTATGAACATAAAAAATATGTGTCAATGGAATCAGGCTCGTATTTTTAATTTTTAAAGATGGTATCAATTCAATTCATCAAATCAGAGAAATTTAAGAAATTCGCAATAATTTATGTGTCCGTTTACAGTTGCTGTTCTACAAGGAATATTATTCGGTTGAGAAAATCAAAATCGTCGGATGCACATATATGGCAGCGTGTGGCCTGGACCTGAACTTCGCGGGCTCCACTAGTAAAACAGAGAAATCGAACTTGGATTTTATTAGTAAATGATTATCTCGAATAAAACTGGATAACCCATCCCATTACCCATCCCTACCATTTCAGCACGGACCGAGGGGAATCCACGTAAGCTATCCTTCGAGCATAACCAACAAGAGCTCGAGGAAGTGGTTTTTGTCATGTCCTCGTTTGCACTGGACATGATGCGCACGCTGGCCCAATGCAACAAGGCCTACCAGAGCATTCCGTCCCTTCGAAGCATTATGGACGGAACAATCGCCATCGGCATTTCCAGTGGCGAGGTGATGGCCGGCATAGTGGGCGCCTCGCAGCCGCATTACGACATCTGGGGCAATCCGGTCAACATGGCTTCGCGGATGGAGTCGACGGGATTGCCAGGACACATTCAGGTGACGGAGGAGTCGGCCAAAATCCTGCAGGATTTCGGCATTCTCTGTGAATACCGCGGCTTGACTTTTGTGAAGGGTCGTGGTCAAATACCGACCTATTTGGTGGGAATCGATAGCGACCTTAACTTCATCACTACGGCGGCAAAGCGATCTCCGAGTCACGTGGAGCGCAGTACGGTTATATCATTGCAATCCACCTATTCTCAACCAGATAATCGTAGTGATTCTGGTAGCATTTATGGACGAAACCTGAACGATAATTAAGATGGCTTATAGTTTGGCGTTATTTACGCATCGAATTCGTTTCGTTTCGTTTTGTAATCTTAAAATAATTAAACAAATTGCACTTCTAGAAGAAAAAGAGATTTGAAAATTTATAAACTTAGAAATACCGAATATTTGCTTTTGCCTTATATTGATTTATTTGTGCTTTTAATAAAGAGACCTCTCACTCTTTAAAAAGCTTGCCAAATTGTCACCCCATTTCCTTATCCAGCGAGTGACTTGCAATTTTCATTCGAATTTCAAAACATAATTGATGATTTTGCTACGCCTATCCATTAAAAGTGTCAAAAACAAGAAGCAGTAGCAGCAAAAACCAAAATCAGAACCCTGGCTGCTAACTAGATTTTGCCTTTTTGGCCCCCTTTCCGTTCCAGTTTAATTGAATTAATCCCAAACCGTGTTAAAATGTTGAGTGCCGAGTGCCTACTGATTTAAATGGAAAAGGGGTTCCATTCTCACCAGCAATTAAAAGGTATTTTTACAAGCAATTTGGAAAATATGACGGTGGTGACAGTCACGGAAGGTGAGATTGCCTCCCTTTGATTCTGATGATGCTTGTCATTGTTTTCTGTAATCGACGAGTTTTCGCCGGGGCCGGGGTGAAACATCAAAAAAGCACGACACACAGAAATGCGAAAATACGCGTTAGAGAAACAGCCATTTCCGGTGAAAGCCCCAGGACACGGTGTCCCTTTTCGGTTGGCATAGAGTTGTTTTATCTGCACGGACACGGTCCAACCTTCCTTTGACATGTAAAACGCTCTCATCCAGTGCATGTCCCAAAAAAAAAATACGTTTCCTCGTTTTAAGAAGAAAAACTCAATGGCAACAAAATGAAATTCATGTGAATGCCAATTGCAAATTAAAATGCGAAACCTATTTAGCTGAAAAACAACCTAAAAGCTTAAAAAAAAATTATTTTGTAAGGGTATAAAGTGCTTTAATGGCTAGTTTTGATTAAAATTTGAGGCTTTTCAGTAATTTCATGTGAATGTATTCACTTTTAATGTAAAATGCTGGGTATTTAAAACTACTTTTTCTCGGGACATAGACATTTCTGTTTTAGTAAATAAACATGGTTATTTTTAACAAGTATTCACGCCTCTATCGTAATTATTTGCTCGCTGAACGCTCTAAATATTTATAGAGGAAAACAAAAATTTAGAGAAATGTGCATTTAGAACTGAGTTACAAAACAATGTTGTTAATTTGGCTAAGTGCAGCTACACATTCGAAAAAAGAATGCAATCGCTAATTTCAATTACAACACAACTGGCTTATCTGCGGCAAATGTGGACTAAGTATTTTTTCGTTGCTTACTATTTTAAGGCAACCTGGTGCCGCACTTTGTGTTACGTATTCAGATGATTACTTCAAATACCGAAACTGGAAATAAAGACCAATCCTTGTGCACTCAATAACAATGCGAAAAATGTTTATATATGACAAAAAAGGGAGAGCCAAAAAAAAAAACAGAACGCAATCGAAATCGAGTTTCATTCTCAGGCCATTTGCCATTCCGAGAATCCAAACTAACAACATTGACTCAAGTCCACACTAAAATGCGAAAAAAAGATGGAACTGGAACTAAACCCTCCCAAGCTAACTAATCTTTTTTTACGGATTTCTTTTTTCCCTTTTACCAGTATTTTGTGTGTGTGTGTGTGTTTTGCTGCCAATCCGAGCGACCAAAACGAAAATGTCATCATCAGCACAGCTTTGGTCAGAGAATAGAAGTAAAAACCCAAACGAACTGGGAACTATCCAAAGCGCACCGCCCCTGCTGACCCACGTTTATATACATATATACTGCCACTCAGCGTAACTTTTTATGTGCAACATAGCAGAATGATTGTGTTCCGTTCCAGAAATATCAGCACAACAAGCACGACAACAACTCCGGCCACAGCAACAACATCTTAAGCCGTTTCGCATAAAATTTCACACACCATTTTAGCCAAGTGCCACATTACCTGCACACAAGATGGGACTCTACTCGACTCGTCTCCTCCCTTCGCCCTCCTCCCTTCGCCCGCCCTCTGCCCGGAATGTCCTGTGAACCAAACCAAGTTGGAAAAATAAAAGGTTGGAAAAATGCTGGAAAACACGAAGCTGAACATAAAAAATACCTTTTGACACATGCAAGCAGAACCAAATGGGGGCGTGGCCACAGCCAAAAGTGTTGGCCAGTTGAAGGTGGCGGCAGGGAAGGCTTAAAATCAGCGGGCAAGGACTAAAATGGCGCTAGCCAAACGAGCTGAAAAGGAAAAGAAAAATCTTGGAAATTGCATTTTAAGAAGAACTTCGTGTGGCTACATCGAAAAATCTATAAACACACACACACACATGCAAGGCTGTACATGTATAGATATATATATATATATATATATATGGCAAAGTGCGACTAAATGCAGACGATGGGAAAAGGATACAGGAAAGCTCAATCTGGCACTGACTTGGGGCCACAATAGCCATTCGACTATCCAGTTGGTCAGCAAAGCAAACAGGACCAATCCAATACAATTTTAACGGTAATGTGGGCCAAAAGCAAGCGCTGGCGAAATTGATATGGCCAACAAAATGGTGAGCCCTCACATTCACACATCCAAACAGCTGAGTTGCAGATGCAAACGGAAACATCACGTATACGCACCATAAACAGCGGAGCTCAAAGGATCCGGAAAGGGGAACTGTTTGCTCCGGTCTTCCTTGAAACATTTTCCAAACTATCGTTTCGAAACAGAGAAATGGGTTTTTGCTGATGGTCTGTGTTTAAAAGCAAAATTTAAATTTTCCCAATTCATATTTAATACAATTTCAACAAACCTATACATAATTCCTTTGAAGAAAATCCTTTTAAATTCCCGAATGTAAAGAAAACAACCATCCAACACTATTTACTGCGAGAAATTCCGTATTGTTTAGGTATCAAGTGCGTTGGCATAACAATTTCCACTTTCACTCCGAGCATACCTACTTTGGCAGAAATCTAAATCCAGAAGCGCAAAAACCGAGCGGCAACAACTACAGAATTATGGCAACAAATTGCGAACAAACAGGCAACAAACAAGTGAATCACCTTTACCGCTTCCTATGCACTTTTTGGTCTTTCGCCCTGCTACACGCTCATCATCCTTTCTCCGGCCAAAGGAGCACGAGGGCAGTCGACAGGGAAAGGCAGCACGGCGTTCGATGGACAGAAGGTGTGGCAGGTTTTGTCATAACTTGCACTGCCTTCAGGCTGGTGAAAGAGCCAGGAATGACAAGCACTGCACACTGAGAGGCAGCAGCTGACTGGTTGAACAGCTAAAGACCGAGACATACATGTCAAAGGACAACGAAATCCTTGAGTGTGTGCTTTGGAACGCGTACACAGATAAAAAATATTAGAAGGATAGTATAGATGGTATAAGGATTTATTGCAAAATTCATTTTAAACAGCAAACAAAAAACGGCTATTTAGAAAATAGTCAATAGTATACTGTGTGTGTAAAATTTGTATGTTCGAAACATATGTACTGATTTACGAAGCCTGATTTTTAAAAACCTTTTGCTGTAACTTGGCCAAAATTAGGGGTATAGCCATAAGAGTGACTGTTTTGAACAGCTGGCGACCTTAACTACCCTTCCACAATCGGTTTAGAACAATTTATTTGGTTTTGATAAAAAAAAAACCGATTTTTGAAAATAGATTTTTTGAAAACTTAGCTTTATGACCAAAGTTCAAGTGGCGCCCTATTGATATTGAATTTAAGGGCAGACCAATGCCATGAATCATACATAGATGGCGCCACAAACACTATCATTTCAAATCTAATAAGCTTTGCTACTTTTAAAGAAAACCAGCTAAGCATTTTTAATTGTAGTTTAAAAAGAATAATTTGATTTAAATGGTTTTTAAAACAACCGACAAGTATCTAGTCCTTGTGTTTTCGTCTTGATACTTTCCGAAATGCCTTACTTCAACCCACTTATGCTCGATTTGGTTCGCAGTGTTTGAGTGTATTTCCGTTTGTGTGCGTTGCTTAACACTCAAAAGCGGAAGTAAGCGGCGTGTGCTGCGGTCGAGGATGTGGATGAGCGGAAAGGAGTGCAGAAGGGGGCGGAAGCAGGAAGCAGGCTGAAGTTTGTTTTCTTGCGGCCTCATGACTGGCACTTCTGTCTGCTGCTGCTGCTCCTGCTGCTATTCCTGCTGCAGTGACAGCAAAAACCAAGAAGAGACAACGGCACGGCAGCCCACGAACGCGAAGATGGCAGCAGGTGGATAGCAGAAGGCTGCAGGCTGCAGGCAATGGGCGAAATGCGAAAGGCAACAGGACAGGTGTGCTGCAGCAACCGACACAAAAATATCACTTTAAAGTTTGCCAGTGAGTCCTGTCGTCTGTGTTGGTTTTTGACATGAAATTGCATTACATTTCACACGGAAACAAGTTGGGTGTTGCAATGAGTTGGCTTGCCTCTGCACTTTTGAACATTGTCTTATTTTTATGCCAACTGTCGTTCGGTTTCTCGAGTGAAGGGTACAAATTAGTTGGCCTTGTCGCAGGCAGCAACAGCAGCAGTAAGAGCCGCAACAACAACTTACTTTTGTCTGGCATCCTTAAACTACTTTTCATCGATCCGCTCAGCAATTACGTGCAGCGTTCTCTCTACGGAAACAATTTATCAGACTGGGCAAACGACCCAAGCTGCTTTTCTCGCCGAAGGAAACAAAAAAAAATCGAGACAAGAAACACGAAAACAAGGGCCTCGTCCACTTTTCTCGAGCAGAATGTATGCCCAAAGTGCATGGTAAAGTAAATTTTATTTAACGGCAGCAACAAACAAACAAAGTGGGCAAATTTTCACCACGAGTTATGGCTGCAAATTTGAGATACTCTTTAAGTATGCAGTGAGTTAAAATTAAATAATATGAAAATAGGTATGTCTGTAGCAGTAACCTTATTGAACTGATTTCACTGAACTGCATGTTTAATATAAGACTTCCCCATTATTTACTTTTATTTCGTTACTAATTTAATAAAAGATTTTTTTTATATTGATTTACTAAAGT